TGTCCCTCAGGTATAGCACGCCCATGTTTGACTGGTTCCATGAGTTTGTTGGCTGCACCATGAGAAATAGCAGCAGATGAGTCGAATCATAGGCTCGGAATACCCTTAGCAACGTTGGCTATTGGACAACCACCGAAGTGCCCCGCTAACACCACGTCCTAGGTTGCCTCTTCCCCAACCCCACCCCCCGTGTCACCTAGCCTCTTTACGGACAGGTAAACCTTCTGGTGCCCACCCGTTTGGAAGCGGCAAAGGGCTGAGTTGGGTACAGAATTCGGGGAAATTACGGGTATGCAAGGGCGCACCCAGCATTTTCTTGAGGGAGTGGGCCCGACCCCGCTGAGTACACATCACGCCAATTTATAACCTTCTGTCGGGGGGCATCTATGGTCAAAACGAAAATCAGGCCTAAATAAAGGGCTTGGATCTCTAAGCTCGCTGAGCCACTGGGTATGGGTACGGATGTCGGTAAGACACTCACGAAATGTCGGATAGGCAATTCGAGAAATGGTGAACAATATCACTTCTGCGCTCCCTTTAGCCTCGCCCTGATTCGCCGTTTCCATAACGCAGACGGATAGGGGTGGGGTGGGGTGGGGGGGGGGGGGGGTGGGGGTGATGCAGCCCTCGGGCATCTCGAAACTAATATAGATCCTAGAAAAACACACCAGTGGATCTTTCTCAGCCAGATCTCGCCAATGATACTAGTTCTGATGTTGTTAGGTCAAAAATTGACTTCATCACGCTAGGTCAAAGGTCAAATTCGGCGTCGGCGACGTCAGTCGGCGCGATGTTGGTAATAGCGCGGTGTCAATTGTAGCGACCTCCGAGCACTAAAGCTGCAGTGCACCGATCCCGCTCTAGGACGGTAGCAGGCTGCAGGTGACCCGCCCCGAGAAACTCAAACAGCAGGGCAATTGTGGTGGCTTGGATGTCTGGTGATCATGACAGAGAGCTTGAGTCATAAATGGCTTTGTTCTGAGCGTGATCCTAATGTAGGAAGCGAGCCAGAAAATATGGCAACCACACATACGTACCGCAAAACTTCGTGTGCGGGAAGACTCGTGAATGGATCCTCTGACAACCCCAGTACGAACCATCTGGATTACCGAGAAGATAATAGATGGCTTTCCCAACACCCTAGTTACACGTCCACTTATACCGCGCAGACCCCTTTGAGACAATCCCTGCCACAATGCTACCAGGCAGGCGAGCGCCCGCCTACGTGCTTAGCATTGCGGTTATGAGAACAGGCGGCAAAGGGTAAAGACCGCATGACGATTGCACTTTGAATGGCAGACTCTTGGCTTATCAAAAAACGTACACCTCAAGGCCCGAATACTACAAATTAGAACGTAGTCTACCAGGTCGACCCGACAGTCCGAACGTCCCGACTGACAGTTGACATCCGCACCTCTGCCGACTGAAACGGAACCCCGCCGCCCCGCACCATAAGACAGGGTGCGAACGCACCAATACAAACCAGAGCACCGCACGAAATAAAGGTAAACGCCAAACGCTGACCTGATCAGCCAGCGCTTTCCAGAGACTGGACGAGGTACAATAGGATCTCAAGGAGTGAGCAATTGGATGCGTCATCGCAGAATACCATAACGTGGGTGCCCGGTGAGAGCCGCAAAGGCATAAAGCAAATCCACTGAAAACCAGTGACCAAGCAATGTAAAATAATTCCACGTCACCAGCTCCTTAGAACCTAACACAAATATAAAAGGACGCACTGTGCCTGCACCGTACTATGCCGACCTCAAAGGCAATCTTGATTTCCCGCCACGTCTGCGATTGGCATGACCTCGCCGCTCGGCGGCAGGGGACAGGCAGCGTGCCGCTTGCTGACGTGGCTCTCCAGGTGATGTTTGTGGACGAAACGGTACTTGCAGTGCTGGCACTCGAACTTGCGTTCCACGCCGCACTCCAGCCGGAGGTGGCGCGACAGGTTGGACTTCCAGCGGAACTGGCGGCCGCACTGGCCGCAGGCGAACCCAGGCAGGACCAGGCCGGTGCCGCCCGGCCGATCCGAGCGCCGCGCCGCGGTCGTCGTCGGAACTACCAGCCAACCTGAAACCAACGGCCGCTGTTCTCATGCCCGACAATACACTCAGCCATCCATACTCAAGTATCAACGGCATTGCTCCAGTGACGTCACAAGGCTCTGGACCAGCCGCTCGAGGTGTAGTCTGCTGTGAAAAGGCCGTCGTCAACCGTCGCAACGCAGATGGCCACCCATCACGCAATGCACAGAACTGGCCCATTTCTGGCGTTCGGCCCGGTGGCCAGCCCTGCCCGAGGAGTGGGTGGACATTTTAGAGATCACTGCAGCGCTGGACACAGCCCACAGCGCTAAGCAACAAACTGCTACCACAACTGCAGAACACACGCCGCCGCTGCCAGGCCGGGACTGGTACCGCCTGGCTCTGAAAGCGCGACGATTGCCGGCATGGCGTGCTACGCCATCTTGACGTCATGGCCATCCCTTTCGATACCTTGTAAGTGCTCGACACCCCGGCTTTGTGCCGGTGTCGGCGTAATGGAGCGGCCGTCATGGCAGCATGCGGCCTTCCTGTCATGCTAAGCAACGGGGCTTTTCTTTTTCAGCAATGATGGTTGATTATAACAACTACAAAAGAGTTTCATCAGCACTTCAATGCTTTAAGGAGGAAAGATTAACGGACGAAACGTAAAATACTGAAATAAGCCGGAAAGGAGGTTGTTTTCCACAGGGCAGTACTACTTACGGAAAGCATCACAGATGTCATTTCAACAGCCCTTCTGATCAACGTCCTTACTCCACTCGACACGAGGACCGTGCTACTCTCTGCTTATTTACGTGACTAAAAAATCAGCACAAGGCTTTTATCAGCGCTTATGCATAAAACGCACACGAGTAAACCAAAACATACCGATAAAGATCGGCAACCAAGGGCCGATCATTCACCGAGTGTTAATCGGCCTTGACAGGAAGAATGCGCAACATTTCGCGTCTACTTCACTTACTTGAAAACTGTACAGGCCTTTTGTAGGCGCGTGCTGTGTCCAGCATGCGCATAACGTAGACCGAAAACAGCCATCGATGCAATTATCGGCTTGGAGTCGAAGTAAGTCAGAGTAATCAGTCGCATCAGCTGAAGGGGTAGAACCGGTCAAGCCTCCGGCGATCAGCCGAGCCCTAAATGATCATCTGCCACCGGGACGAGCAGCCGCGCCATGGACGAACCACATCACCGGGACGTCAAGAGGGTCGCCCAGGTTGCCGCTGTGCCGGATCGGCCCAGTGGATTGATCCAGACGGCAGGTGGTGCTGCCACACTCCCGGCAGAAGTACGCCCAGGCTCTCCTGAGTCGTGAGAACGGTAGAGTTGGCTAGGCAGCACTGGCCACACACCAACGGCAGCTTCACACCCTAGCAAAAAGACGGCGCTTGTTGTCCTGCCGCCGGTAGCTTCTGGGGCTCGCCCCTAGGTGGCGCTGGCAGTACCAACGCGACCGCACCGATCCCGAGGCAGCACCCGTGCTGTTGGAACACGGCGCCAGCTACAGCTTCACCGCCGCCATCCGAGCCGCCAGATGGTGTTGGTGCCCACCGTGCCGTGCCCACCGCCGTCAGCACACGCCGGCGGCGTCGGCGGGAGACGGCAAAGCCCAGAAAACACCGGCCTCGGTCGATGTCGTATATTGCTTTCAGCTCGTCACTAAATCACGCGACGCACGCGCACGAGTTAGCCCACCACCACTGCATAGGAAGACGGGCATCCGGCAGTTCCGAGTCCGTGAGCGGGCGAAATTTGATGAGGTGACGAAATTCGATTCCGTATGGAAATATGCCAGCACTGAGCACAACAGCCTTACCACTAACTCCCCAGTCACGCGACATGTGAACCATGATGAGGTGGGTAGAGGACACCAACCCCCAAAGCGTATTGTAGAAACGACCGCCGATCATCTCCAGGCGCGCGGAAGGTGGGCCGAAGCGATTACCCTACTACCAAACAGCAGCACGCAGACAGATGTCATGCAGGCACCGAACGGCGCCCTCGTCGCCCCCCCCCCCCCCCCCCCCCCTCTGCCCCGCCCTGAAGTCAGCCAGGCCCGCGTTCGCCCAGCGAAGCAGCTGTCGGCGAGTTCGCGGCGTATCTACATGGAGTCTGGCCAGCGAGGTACTCATCAACCACTCATATCTCACCTCCCACGCATGATTTTGATTTTCATGGCCAACAAAACACAATATCAACAGCCTCGTGACCTAACGGACACCGGGAGCACTCCCACACAGTACAGAAAAAACGACCCCGTTTTCTCCACCCCTTCCGGCTAACAGCCGACGCGTATTATGCACTTCACACAACGGCACTTGGTCCTGAGTATGTTCCTGAGTAGAGATTTTGATTGGTCACGATGACAACGTGGCACCAAGCCCTGATTTACACAACACACAAACATAGCATAGTAAAATGGCATACCCGCTCTGCTGCCCCGCAGCTTGGCGCCCTCTCCGTGCCCGCGCCGCCGCACAGGCGTCTCCTGTCCCCACGAACATGCCCGGCGGTCGGTCACGAGCTCCATAAAACACCTCACGATCAAAGCGGTGGTGAAATGCCGATCCGAAGTCAGTGGACGTGATCAAGACCAGCGACGAACAGAGGCTTCCGGCCTGCTATCACGAGAGGCCGCGCGGACCGTGACCAGCTCTACTGACCGAGCAACCGCGGTCGTGCTGGAAAACGGGTCACGACGCCGAGCCATGGTGCCGGGTGGGCCACGCCTGGCCGATGTTGGCTGCCTGGTTTCTCAGTGTTGAGAAGCATGGCAGGTGTTTGTACTTCTGTCGCATGACCCACTGCCGCCCTCCAACCGGCTGGCCCGGCAGGCGCCGCCTTCTGCGTCAGTGATCACACCCGACGCACCGGCGACGACCCGGTCTCTGAATATCGCTCACGTCTTCAGAGAACACAAAATACATGACAGACTAGGAACGTTCGGGGTAGCGAAAGCTCGGAAGACTACATGCTTTCTAAGCAGACTGGAAAAATCGTTAATAATGTCCACGGAAGTCACAATTCTCGGCGCGCGGGCCCCGACAAAATGCCTGAGGAATGTCTGCCGCCCCGGCGCCAGGGCCAGAGGTCGGCGACTGCGCCAGCACGCGGCCTCGGTCGGAGCTCGTGTGCGGGCCATGGTGGCACGCTGGGGCGGTCGGCGCCGCCACGGTCAGCAGACCGCCACAGTCGGACGCCGGGCGGGGTGCGCAACAGAAGCGATCATCTGTCGCTGGACAGAGCTGTGCGCGACAGCGAGCGGCGGCGGTGAGTCGGCACTGGGGAGTGGCCGCAGACACAGAGGAAGGCCCACACCGGAGGCACGTCTGGTGGACAGCGCGGCCCGACCCGGGGCGAAGGAGGAGCTGACAGCCGGTGTCGCTCCTCGCTGCGACAGCTGGTGTGCGGAGGAGATAGCCTCCACCTCAGCAGTGGCTGTGCTCCGCCTGGGTGGTGGCCGTGTTCCATCTCAGCAGTAGCCGTGCTCCGTCTGAGCTGCCGCCGCGCTCCGTCTGAGCAGTGGCCGTGCTCCGTCTGAGCTGTGGCCGTGCTCCACGTCAGCAGTGGCCGTGCTCCGTCTGAGCTGCGGCCGCGCTCCGTCTGAGCTGTGGCCGTGCTCCACGTCAGCAGTGGCCATGCTCCGTCTCAGCTGCGGCTGTGCTCCATCTGAGCTGTGACCGTGCTCCGCCTGAGCTATGGCCGCGCTCCGCCTGAACTGTGGCCGCGCTCCACCTGAGCTATGGCCGCGCTCCGCTTGAGCTGTGGTCGTGCTCCGCCTGAACGCGCCGACCTGAGACGCGGCCAGAGCGCCGCGAATCACATCAGATAGTCCTTGATCAGCTCGGGGTTCTCCGACTTGTGCGTGGACACCACGTGGATCTTGACCGAGTGCCGGTGCTGGAACTTCTTCTTGCAGACGGGGCACTGGAACTGCGGCTCGACGCCGCACTCGTACTTGACGTGCCGCTTCAAGTTGCCGCTCGAGGCGTACTGGCGGCCGCACTTTTCGCACGCGTACTGCCTGCTCGGCGAGGTGGGCGACTCGCGCCGCAGCAGCAGCGGCAGGCCCAGCGAGCCGGACGACGGCGGCGGCGGCGGCGGCGGCGGTGCACGCGCCAGCAGCTGGTCGTAGCGCTGCTGCTGCAGCAGACGCTGGAAGCGCACGTTGAACGCTCGGTGCAGGAAAGCATCTGCAACACCCGAAAAGCACAAACGTAAGCGGAACGAAAGCGGCAACGTAAAACGATCGCAGAATACGACGGGTCGACAAATAAACGAGAACGAGCGCAGTTGATGACCACCGCTGTTGTCTAGTGGTCGGAAAAACGGTTGCAGCAGATGCACAAGGCTAGCAAAAACTACAAACACATTCGTCGAGCAAAACTCGCTAAATCGCAAGCAAGAGTGCAAATATCCAGAAGAGAGCTCTCTGCTCGCTCAGACGTCTGATACAGGAGAGTTCTAGCAGGCGGGGGTCGCGACTGCGTGCAGCAGTCCTTCCGCTTGCTGCTGGCGGGGAGCTCGTGCGGCGGACACCGCAGAGGCTGCTGCAAGGCTCACGGACACGCTGACGAGCTACTCAGGCAGCGGGCGGGGCAGACGCACCGCCGGCAGACCCTGCATGCTGACAGGCAAACATGCGGCATGCGGGCGTGCGGGCGTGCGGGCATGCAGAAGGCGCAGGCGGCGGTCTGCAGGGTCCGGCAGTAAGCGGGGGAGGAAGGCAGGGGCGGGGCGCCACGCGCACAGGCTGCACCTTCGACTGCTGCACCAGAGAGCGCGATCGCGCGTGCGCCTCTTCAGCGGCCGCCCGGCCGTCTCTCGCCACCACGTCTTCGCCTCGGGAGCCAGGCCGCTGGCCACACGCCTCTCCGGCAGTCTGTCCGCCTCTGTCTGTCCATCTCTCAGTCCGTCTCCCACCGCCACCGCCGCCGCCGCCGCCCCGTCGCGCCGGCGCTGGCGGTGCCGCGCCGCGCGTCGACGCCATCAACTGTGGTGCACGCGCACGTGCGTCCGCATGTTGTGCTTGTGTTTGAACTTCATCAGGCAGACGGGACAGGCGAACTGCGGCGGTTGGCCGCACTCGTAGCGCCGGTGCCGGTTCAACGACGACGTGGTGGCGTAGGCGCGGCCACACACCGCTCACAGTGCACGGTCGGCGGCGAGCCGGGCCCCGCCAGCAGCGGCAGGCGCGGCCCGCGGCCGCCGGCCGCCGCTACCCGCGGGTGGAACAAGTCCAGCAATTCGAAAGACGGACAGTTGGGACCTGCAACGACACACACACATAGGTGGTGAGGGCGGGCGGGCAGGCCGCGCGGCCGCCGCCGCCCCGCCCAAGGGCCGGGCGCGTGCTACCCCGGCCCGGCCCAGTCCGGCCGCCCGGTTAGTGAGTGCTGGTGCGCGCGGCTGGAGCCCGGCCGACCCGCCGCCCGCCGTTACCGTGCACCCGCGCCCGCCCGCGCAGTACGCCCAGGGTGAGTGCGGCCAGGCGAGTGAGTTACAGCCCGGCGCCGCAGGGCAGCAGCAGCCCCGCCACCGTCACCATCTCCACCGACTGACACCGGTCCACAGTCAGAGTCTCCGCACGCGTCTCCGGACGGCACCGGCAACCGAGGCCAAGCGGCCGAAACGGTCCAGTTCGAAGTCAACGGCCGATTGTGGCCCCGGGCAGTGAACTTTACACGACGGGCTACCACAAACTCTCAGTTACAAAGGTGGAGGGGAGGGGGGGGGGGGGCGAGGCGCACCACGAGCCGCCGCTCAAAGGCTGAGGGTTGGAACGGCGCCATACACCCGGGTTCCGAGTCAGGGAGGATGGACAGCCAGACAGCAGGGGACGGGGACGGCCGGGAGGCAGCTCCCGCACGCAGCGCCCGGCAGGAGCGCGGCGCCCGCTCGTCCCGCGGCAGAGCTCAGCGGGCGGGAGGCCGAGCGCCCTCCGACCGGCAGCTGGAGGCGTGTGACCCGGCTCAGCTCGGGGCCAGCGGAGGCGAGGTGTGGCGCCGTGTCGTGACAGGACAGTGCGTGGTGTCGGGGTGCGCGTGAGGCCGCGCGCCGGCGGCCGGGACGGTACCTGGGGCTCCGCCGGCCTCGGTCGACGGGACGAACGGGCCCTCTGCGCCGTCGCCGCTGCCGCCCAGCGACCAGTTCATAAAGCCTGCAGCAGGGAGGGACTCGGTCAGCCGGTGCGGACACCCGCTCACCCGGAGCACCGGCGCATCCGCTGACAATGGGCTGCCCTCAGGCCGTGGTAGCAGCCTCATCAGTCCTGCGTGGTAGCAGCCTTATCAGTCCCGCACAATGACGGCGTGCGAGTCTCGCAAATCTCTTGGCGACTGCAAACAGAGCCCACGGTGCATGCCGGTCGACATGTATGACAGGTGATAACCATATGCGGGAGAGCGCCATCCACACCGTAGTAGGCGACAAACAACGATTTCTGTCAGCATCTGCCGACGTGCTGACCTATCTGTATCCCCTGCACCTAGCGGCAATAAAGGACGACCACGAATAAGTTAACTGCTGACACGTGGTATGCGACGTGTCGTACCTAAACCCGGAATGTGGATCAGGGACTGTCCATACCCCATGCAGCGGGAGGTGGGAGGGGACAGAGGGGACAGAGTGGCCGGGCCAGACCACTGCCGGCACCCACCTGCCCCTCACACTCCAGTGTGTGCATGAGATTAGTGGGGCTGGCCGGCGGCGCTGAGTCGGCCCCATCCCCCCCCGCGGCCGGCTCCGGCGCGGCGGCCCAGGGGAGGGGAGAGGCGGCCATTGTGGACGGCGGCGGCGGCGGCGGCGGCGGCGGCGGCGGCCGGGCCGGGCCGACTCGCTCCCCTACCAGCGGCGCGACGCATCGCATTACCGGCCCGCCCGCACAATGGCGAGGGCCGCGTGGCTGCCGGCAGCGCGCCGGGCCTGCGGACGGCGCCCCGCCGCCCGACCGACTGCAGCTTCACGAATGTACGCTAGACTCACGGGGCAGCAAACAGAGACGCAACTGCCCAGCCGGTTAATCTACCCCTTCTGCACGGCAAGAGTCCCCCGGATTTTGGCCGGGTTGTAGGCCAGACTTAGTAAGCTTTTGCAGATTTTAACAAGCCAAATAATGCAATTTCGCTAGTCAATGGTGATTTCAAATCCCTCCAAAAATCACAATACACTTGTGAAAAAAACATCTTTCAACATTTCTAACGAGGGCCCTGGTTAGTGGCAGACAAACCGATAGACTTGGATGTTGTGGGGGTGGGTTGTGATTAAATATCATTGATTCATACACCAATCATATCTCAAAATCAATTCAAATGATTCATGAAATAAGCGAGGAACTGTGGTTCTTTCAATGCCTCACCCTCGCTCACTCGTCAATACGGACCTCAGTTACTGGTGCATTCCATGTGGAACAGTTTTCGAAACCTGCACAGTGGCAATGCAGCGTTTGACAAAGGCTGCGTCTTTCTTTTAAACAAAAACATACAATTCATGATCAAGACAAGAGGGGCTCCTACGAACAACACCTTTCACCCTTTCTGCACGTATCATTAATTTCCAGCGTAAACGTCTCATAAAAACTGTCCTGTTTCCTCGTGTCATCTCTTCCCATGTCTATCTGTACACAGGCCTGCGTCAAAGCCAATCATACGTAACGTCAATCAAACATTCGATAGAATTCCACAAGTTGCATTTGGCAGGCTATGTGAAGTATGAACTGTGTATGAAGTATGAACTAAGTATGTAATGAACTGAAGCCTTGACACGCTTTGCTGCGCACACCCAGACAGCCAGCGTGCTAACCGTCACCCTTTCCACAATTAACGAACATTTCCGAAAATATGCTGCAATGTACAGGACACCAGCAAACTTCACGTCTGTTTCGCGTGTCTTGCCGGGCGGCGGGCGCTGCGCTGCAGCCGGCGGTCACCGGCGCGAGCGGGGCGGGCCTGGTCGGCGCGACGGCGGCGCACACGCGTCCGTGTGAACGGCCGCGCCGCCGCCGCCGCCGCCGCTCCCGGCTGCCAGTCACCAAGGTCAGGCAGCTCCCAGAGTTCAACATACTGCGCCGGTGGCAGTGCCGCGCCCAGCCAGCAGAGTCAGAAGCCAGCACAGACAGAACGCCGCCCAGCTAGCGCAGGCAGTACGTTGCCCAGCCAGCCTAGTCAGCACGCAGCCCAGCCAGCATTTAGTACGCAGCCCAGCCAGCCCAGTCAGCACGCAGACCAGCCAGCAGTCAGTACGCAGCCCAGCCAGCAAGCCGGCAGTCAGCCAGTACGTCGCCCAGCCAGCACAGTCAGCAGTCAGCCAGTACGCCGCCCCGCCAGCACAGTCAGTGCGCCGCCCAGCCAGCGAATAATATCGTGCCGCCTCACGCGGGATGGTAGCGAGTCAGGCGTTCTCAGACCGGCCCATTCGCCGCGAAATGTCTGATGACGCGTGGAATCAGACGCCGGTGAAAGAACGCCTGTTTAACTGTTTTTAATAGTATGACAGAAAACCGCAGTCTGTTGAGAAAATACCAACAATCTTAGCCAGGATGGCACAGAAGAACGCCCAATGTCGCTGGCAGGAACATATTCCCACACTGAGCGACGGGGGAACACGATAAACGTCAACGTAACACTCCAACAGCAGCACTCCAGGCTGTTGTCATTAACACAACACTGGACATTGAGCCAACTAAAAAAATCGTGGAGCCTGATCGATAGGGCCAAATTCATTTCCATTAATAACAAGACCTGCTCGCCAGGACATGTATCATGACCAGCAATGATTTGGGCGGGAGCTAGCTTTCAGGCCAGCAATTGGCCCGGGCTGATCTCCGCGACCTGGCTACCTCTATTAAAAACGCAAATTTGCTTCAGCTGCCCACATACATACTGGACCGTTCGTAGGAATCGAACTGAAGCAGCTGTCTCCGCCAATTGGTGTCCCATCCCGTCAGCAGGCTCTCGGGTGGACAGTAAGCTTAAACACTATCATCCCCGCATGCCAACTTCTCAGCCTCCACTGATAGGTCGGCACACGAGAAACGTCCCGGAACGTCACTGAAGTCATGGAGGTCCAACTAAACACGTGTGGCATTGGTGACTACGGCCGGTCCAGATGGGGAGCACGGGGTCATACCCCACCCCTCCCATCAGCAGCACGCGTGGTGAGCACAAATGTTTCGTTGTGTTTCGCAACCGTAGTTCTTGTCACGAAAGTGACGGAGATGTAAACGGAGAACGTGTCACGCGCGAACACGTCCAGCAAAGATTTCACGTGACGTCACGCACCATGGAACATTCTTGGCGCGTCACGAATAAACATCACGTACTAACATCACATCACGTCTTAAGCAATATGTGACTACTCCAAGACCAAATCATGCGATACATATTGACACCAATTATTTAAGAGCGCTTGCATTTTGCGTCTAAGAAGACATCACCCGAAATCTGGGGGGAGCGTGGCTGGATTTCGTCCCGCCCGTTTCTTTCAAAATTCCTTTGCTCGCTCGGATTCCTCGCGAACTCATGGTGTACGTGCAAGAGCCCTGCCTTCAATGCCGTCATTTTCAGGTTCAGACGCCATGCCTTCAAATGCCATTCAATAATTTGGATTCAATAATTGGTGCAAGAGCCCTGCCTTCAATACGGTCATTTTCGGGTTCAGACGCCATGCCTTCAAATGCCATTCAATAATTTGGATTCAATAATTTGGTGCAAGAGCCCTGCCTTCAATACGGTCATTTTCAGGTTCAGACGCCATGCCTTCAAATGCCGTTCAATAATTTGGACACTTTGAAGACACGCACAACAAAGTGAAAAAGCATGTGTAAAACATCTGAATTTCGCATGATGTTCGGTCACGGCGATACAAACGCCTTTACCATCCCGAACCGAGCAAATACCTGACTGCCGTGCAGCTCCGAATGTGACACTGCGTATACTCTGGTGAAAAAGGCCCAAATATGTGAGAAGCGCGCTCCAGCGTGACAACAAATACCATGGGTGGGCGGTATTCATTACTTTCATTAACATATCGGTGTACCGTCGACGCTGGGCTAGGACGAGAAGGACGCTGAGCATCATAATGCTGATCGTCAGTGCCCAAAGAAACACAACTTTATACCAGGGCAGCACGAGCCACACGTAATCGAACATCGATCCTAGACGGTCGGTGTGTATTATTCGCGTGGACGGGTCCTCTCATCAAAGATGGGATGCAAGAACGCCGGGAAGACACATTTCATCGATGTAATCCACGACACCCTGGCAGTGAAGTGCTATTCGCCCGTCGCTTGATACTGTATAGCTATAATGGCGCAGTCGAGTGGGTAGTTGTAATGACAGCGAGACGTAGCCAATATCTCAAAGCATTGGCAGCTCACTGCCGCTTGGTGCCCAATATCCCGTTGCCAAGTTCAGACGATCATGCTCACGTGACGCGCGCGATTATCGACAGCAGCCATGACCACGTCCTTATCTGATATTGACGCGTAGCACACGTGTCAGACATTCATCACGTCCCATATTACGCGGGAGCCCGACGTTCGGTCAGTTCTCGTTAGGGATATGACGGCATAGATAGATGATATCGTGCTCGACCCCAGAGGACAACACGTTTGTGCTTCCTGACGCAGCTTTAACCGTAATCATGGGCATATTATCCATGCAGCGGTTGACATGTATGACGTCATAGGCACCATAAAGGAAACATTTATAGAACGTATTCTATCTATTCTATTTTATTTATTCACTTTTTCTATTTGTTCTCATCGGCTCAGTCATATTGAATCAGCGCACCGCTGAGATGAAAGGGCGGATAACCTACTCCTACTTGCAAAACCTTCACTCGCATATATGAATCGCTCGAAGCGACCACCAATCACCGATTCACGCCAAGACGAGACCGAAGCTGTCCAATTTTCTGATGGACTGGACCAGGACATTGCAAGACCAGGATATTGCAAGACCAGTATAGGATACTCCAAGACCAGGACATTCGTGATGTGACCCAGCCAAGAGCTGAAAAGCCGTCCATTGACTATGCCGCATAACGTTTGAAGGCGGATGACCCACATCCAAGTGTGTGTGGGGGGGGGGGGGGGAGGGGAGGCAGCAGCATGTGTACTAAAATGGGGAGTCAATGAGTTGACGAAGTGACAGTCTCAGCCGACAGTACACGCGTGGACAACAGCTCATGAAGCTGCTACGGAGAAAAGAAAGTACCGGCGGTCAACGTGGTGTTTAACCCGTAGTAGAGACACATGAATGGTACACACTAGTGCAGCATTTTTTTAACCTTTTTTTTTTGGGGGGGGGGCGCATCCTGACCATCAACTGGTACTGTTATCAGAACAATAACGGCTTGCATAATCTCCACGAAACCAGTACCAAGCCTTTGGCGAAGGAAACCTCCAATCCCAAAAATAGAATAAATAAGCCGGGACCGCCAAGCATTGGTCGCTCAGCATTTTGTACAGCTCGTAAAGCCATAATACGATAAACTTGCTATTTCGGCTATACAAGTTGCTTTGGACATCAGCAAACCAGCATCGCGCTAATGAGTCATCACCACAGTCGAAACGACTCTCGCACTGGACACAACGTTGGCCAATACCGCTTGTTCCACGATATCCCGCTGCTATGCTCAGATATTCATGTCGACGCATGTTGACGTGACACAAACAATTACCGACGGTGCGCAGCCAAATTCGAGGTAATAGCAATCGCTGAAATGACATAGCACCAGCTGATGTAAGTGCATGCCATTTGAAGGAAACGTCCGCCTACAATGAGTATCCAGCAAGTGAGGATAGTACGCGCGTTTCCACCTCGTCTTATAATTAATTTTGGTACCATTTACAAGCATTTCATTCTTCCATATCCTTTTTTGCGACAAATTTGCCCTAACATCAGCACATCATTCGGAAGGCGGTTGAAAAGGTCGTTTTTCGTTAAAAAATGGAACAGTTGCGTATCTGCCAAGGCCATCTACATAATTTTGGCACCGTGCACAAACCAATGTTTTAGTGTACCTCGCGTCCCGCAGCTCCAACGCACCGACAGACACCCCGGGGTCAGGCGGGCGCCACTCACCGTGTGGGACGAGCGACTGGTCGAGGCCGGGCGGTGGCGGCTGCGGGTGGCGGCTGCGGCTGTGGCTGTGGCGGGTGCAGCGGCGGCGGCGGCGGCTGCCCGGAGGCGCCCTGCCACTCCGCCTCGCTGCCGTCGCTGACGCGGCCGTCGTCGTCATCACAACTCGGCGACTCCCGCTTGACGCTGACGTCGGACGGCGCCGGCGCCGGCGGCGACGGTGAGCGGTCGGGCGCGGCAGGGCCCGTGATGGTGGCCGGGATGCGCGGCACGACCGGCCGACGGCGAGCTGGCGGCCGCGGCGGCTCCGGGCGGCTCTGGCTGGCGCCCGCTCGCCTCACTGTCGGCAGACGGCCGGCGCGGCCGCTTGGCCGGCGGCGAGGCGCGGCCGTTCAGCCGCTCGGGCCGCGCGCTGCCAGCCGGCGCGTCCCGTGCGGAGTGCGGACTCTCCGACCGCCTGGGCACCGGCGCGTACTGTGTCTGAGCGGCGGTGGTGGCGGCGGCGGCGGCGGCGGAAGAGGCGGCGGTGTCGCCCGGCGCAGCTGTTAGGCCCCCGCCGATCACCGCTGTCCGCCAGACCCTTGATCTTCAGCGATTCGGCAGTTTGGATCAACGACGACAGCTGATCTTGGCACACGTTAACTTCACCCTGGTACATGTAGTCAACAAGAGCTCTTAGTTCGTTGTGAGGCACGTCCTTGAGAATGATGACTGGGTGGGCCTCATGATGTGTGGCGAAGATGGACTGAAATAAAGGTGAGCAACATCAACATATTGTACCTAAAACTATATTCAACCACTCATGTTATTATGCAGGTGTGTGACTTCATGCACATTTGCCACTTTTGCATTCATTCTGTTATCAGGGTTTTACAAAGCTCTCTGCTGCTGCAATGATATGACATCACCTGCCTCTGACCCTGCATGAAGGTTGACCATCAAATCCAATATCTCTGGTTTCCTCAGTGTGAAACAGACTTTGCAAAGGGGATTCAGAAGGAGGTAAGAGATGCATGCAGCTTGACCTGATTTACCTAAGAAGTTCGCAAAGCCAGGGTGTCAACCCTTGGGGAAGAGAGTGTAAACCTACTGCAGGGGTCATGATGGTATATTCCTGGATTCACTGCCTCTGCCAACCCATTAAATAAATGCAACAGCAAACAAATGGCCTCAAACATAATGAACAGATTTGAAGGAGCTTACCCTGAAGTACTGGCTGCAAGCAGAGAGGACCACCTTGTGGGCCCTGACTGGCTGGCCCTCAGCATACAGTGTGACATCCACCAGGCTCTCATCTTTGAGTAGAGAGCCAAACACATTGATAAGTGTTGTCTGGTGGTGGTTCCACCGGAGACAAAACTGCTGATCTGTCATCCCAGACCTGAAAAAGATGCACATGGAGATGTTGGAAAAATATGGACCTTGAAAGATGATTACATGGAGTAAATCATTGGAGAAGAGCAGCAGTGTGCACCACAGCTGACTCATTACAAACAGGTGTCACACTTAAGATGACATTTCATTCAAAAACAATTGGGATCAAATTAATTTTTAAGTCATCAACATGTTAATACTTACACTACCTAACACTTTGCCTGTCTGAGGCCAGGTTTCCACAGAGACACAGACACAGAACATGACACAGAACAATACCACAAGACATGGCTACCAAATACCTGTCTAGCATGTAACATTGAAGATATCACAATATTGAAGGAAAAGGAAAACAAAACCCATATCCTCATACCCCAACAGCAAAAAATATCTGAAATTCAAATTTCCCCATTCTCACTGTAACAATTGGCAATAATACAAGTTACTTACACATAAATTTTATCAATCCATTTCAAAACAATGGCTTTGACTGGAAGCCCTAAACTATGGTAGAAAATATAGGTCCATTGGAAACTTGGTGGCATGTAAAACCACTCACTAATGGATCACATTCCACAGTGGTGCCATGGTTGGTGGCAGCTAGTCAAAACAGTCTCTGTCAGCTGGTTTTTAACCAGTTTTATTTTCTGGTTGAGACCAGCAAATTTAAGCCAAGTAATATTACTAACTTTGGGCTGTCTGGTTGCCTGATAAGCTTTGATCAATCAATCAGGCAATGTATTTCTGACTTAAACATGCCAATATTGGAAGGGTAACACCAAGCTAGGGCAAAAGCAGCAGCTGTTGCTTATCACTTTGCCCAACCCAAGGCAAACATCCGACAAACAAGAACAGAAAAACAAGGAAAATAACAAGCTTCTTAATTTTGTAGCATAAAAATGATGTGAACTGTAATGCCATAGTTGTAATAAACATCAATTAATGATGTTACTATGACATATATAATGATGCAATTCATGTAAAATCATGACTGTAACTTAATGCCACCCTGCTATCCTGATTTTTACTTGAATACTAAAATGGCCCTGCCACCATTCATTCTTGCATAAACCTTAATTACATCTATAGTGATGTTCTCCTACTGTATTGTTTTTATTCAAGTCACAAATTCTGTGATGCATGCATATATATATATATATATATATATATATATATATATATATATATTCCCCATGCACAACTGGGTAAGTTTGAGACACTGCCCTGCCACAAAGTTCAATAGTTTGGGTGCTACCAGCACTTACAATGAAAAGTTAATTTTGAAGAAATCTCTATATTTTAATACATTGCAAATATGGTCATTTAAGCAATGTTTCAAGGTATAAAGCCCACAGCCAAGATGCAAAATAAAAGTAAACCCACCTCCCAAACCAGCATGATTCAAACACTGTTCATCCAAAGCAGTGTTTGAAGAACTCACAAATGGGAAACAGCCCAGTTTTTCCATGATTAACCAGGGCATGCTTGAGGAAGCATGTGCCGACGTCAAAACGACTCAAGTTAAAGACAGCATACAAAAGGGACATTCTAAATATTGTGCTGATAAAAGATAAAAATTACGGTTGTTTTAACCAACACAGCAGAAATTAAGGACTCTCTTCTACTAACCAGGACGCGGTTGAGTTACGCTACTTTGCAGATGCCTTTTCCGCCATTTTAAGAAGTCGACATAATCGAACCGCCCTCACTCCCAGCTCACGAAAACGCGAAAAAAGCATGGCACAAGGTGCGACACGCGTGCTAGCACTCCTCCGCTACATAAGCATTTCACCACATTCAAATGCTGCCCTCACCTCTCAAAGCTAATCGGTCAATCACCGAAGTTCCGCGCCCCAGCCCACCCCACACAGGTCCCCTCGCTTCACTCAAGGCCGCATGTACGCTTCTGCGGTGACACCCTCCCCTCCCCTTCATTGCTGTGGGTGAGCTCTGATGGCTTTCGGCTGTGACTATCTCAAATGGTCAAAGGGAATTTTGTTAGGGAGGACAACGGCAGCATTCTAGAGATATTTTTGAACATAAATGTCTCTAAAAGAAATGAACAGTACGGTATTTTTCCGGCCGAATATATACGAATACATCTTATATAAGACAATTTCCCTGCAGGTAAAAGTGTGCTGCAAGGCCACCGAAGTACAGAAGTTGTTTTCCTTCCCTCCCACACCCTACTGCTGAACACACAGAATTGGTACACAAAGTAATTAAGCATGTCGAGCACGGAAGTGACATGGTGGTACCTCGGGTACCGGACACCCCTAAGTAAAACGAGGCGGGACCGGAGGGAGTCAGTGCTTCGTAAAATAAACAACGTGAGTTGATTTTGAACGACACCTTCGGCTCCCGGGGCATACGCCATCTCCAGAGGCGAAAATAACACCCAAACAAGAACGTGGTAACCGAAAGGGGGGGGGGGGGGGGGGGCAGTGGGGGCAGCCGCCCCTCGCCGGCCTGAAAGCTGTGTGTGTGGGGGGGGGATGCATGTAAAAAAACACCCCGGCCCGCCGAGGGCTTCATTCCTCATTCATTCTAATTATTGTGCTTCTTGATCTAAGAGATCAATTCTGAGCCCAAACAGGACCCATTCTGACATGTAATATCAGTTCTGGCCTGAAGAGGCACATTCTGGTCTGTAGATGGCCGTTAGTGGCTGGCGGGTCCGTTCTGGCCTGTAGAGGGCCGGTTGCACCTTTGGAGGGGTCATTCTGGCCTTGAGAAGGTCCATTCTGCCCTGCAGATGGCCCATTATGGCATGTAGAAGGTCCAGTATTATCGTCAATAGTTTAACTCAATCCTGACCTTTGGGTGGCCTATTCTGGCCTGAAGCGACCCGCTATCTAATCGTTGGGGGTCCATCCGGCATTTTGGAGTTCACCCAACTTAAACATAGTTCCCGCACCCCTGCCAATCAATCCCCTTGGCTACATCGCCGTCGGTGACACGTGTAACGTACTCAGCGCGGCGCTAGGTAGTGCATCATGGGGCTGGGACGGGCTAGGGCCGCGTCTGCGGCCGGCCCATGGGCCTGGTGCTGCGGCCGGGCCTGGGCCTGGTGCTGCGGCCGGGCCTGGGACTGGTGCTGCGGCCGGCCGGGGCCTGGTGCTGCGGCTGGCGTGAGCCTGGTGCTGCGGCCGGCCCGGGGCCTGGTGTTGCGGCCGGCCCTGGGCCTGGTGCTGCGGCCGGCCCTGGGCCTGGGGCCTATGGTCGCAAACACTGCTTAACACAGGGTTGGCAGTTTCCTATTCAGTTGGGGAACGTGCTCCAAGCCTCCCAACTTTGAGAACCAAAGGGGCGTGCGCATATAGAAGCCCTCCTGCGCACGTACCCGTCCTTACCAAATTTATGCTCTGTATTGGTATCTACGTGACTAAATGTTGACAACGACCAATTTCAGGGAAACACATAAGAGCTAACTCTGAACTTGTGACTCACAATCCATTATATCCTTGCCAAACCAATTCGGCGTCGTGCAATCGCATGCACAGCGTCATTTGCTTACTTGACGCCCTCCATTAAGCGTCGACAGCAATCCGGTCTTCCCTCCAGCCGGCGCGGCCTGATGTTGAAACACTCTCTTAATGCGGTCGCGTTTGTTCACTTCGCATTCCACGCATGTGATCAACCGACCGTCAGAGCTGTACAGCTTGCCTT